TGGTAGAGTAGACATTTTGAACTTGAGGCCATGCAGTCTGTTCCTGGTATCGTTTTGGGACTGAGAATGCAATTTCTCCATCTTTTGCTTCCAAATACATGATCTATCTTATTTCTGAATTGGCCATCTGGTGATGTTCATGCATACAGTCATCTGGGTGGTTGCTCAAAGTATGTATTTGAGTTTGTATTTGTGATAAGCAGATTGTTGGCTCCACAAAATTATAAGAGTTGTACTGCTGCTTTGATTGCTATTTGATTCTGCTTTGTTTCCTACTTTGCATTAAATAATGCAAATTATCTATGATAATTATCTGTGATTCTCGGCGTGTCTTGATTTGGTGTGTTATCAATTTCCTCTTGGACACTTGTTCAAAAGCATTCAATTCCTCCTTCAGCATTTGTTGTTGCAGCACAGATCTGAATTATGATTATATTAATGTTGTAAGCTGTCCAGAGACAGAAGTAATGGATGGCATACAAATTTAATAAATAAATAAATTGACAAGCTTTCATCAAGTTCTGATTGATATTATTCAGTTGTACTTTGCATAACAGCCTATTACTGCATTGCTACATCTTGCCTTAGTATTTGAGCCACTCCATTTCTTCTGAGTCTGTCATTTCCAGAGTAAAACATTTTATGTTCGCCTGACTGAAGACGTCCCATTCCAGTGGACTTTAGTTCACTCACACTAAATACGGTGATGTTTAACTGTTCCATTTATTTCTTTACAGTTTCCAGTTTGCCTTGATTCATACTTCCTTTATTCCGTGTTCCAATTGCATGTGTTGTGCAGTGTCAGACGGTCACCTCTGTCCATGGCACCCCAGACTTCCTTTAGCTTTGATCTAGTCACATCATTAGCAACAGCACTATACGTACTTCTCTTTGCTCTTCCATAGTAGCTGGTTGAATGCCTTCCAGTCTGACAGTCTGATCTTCTGACATGATCTCTGACTTTCTGACACTTCATATTTGTCATAGGGTTTTCAAAGTAAAAAGTATTCAGAAATGCTTTACCATTGCTTTCTTCTGCACAACATTAACCCACATTAGTTTGAGTGTCTCAGTCACTGCCTGTGAAAGAACCTCCTCCAATCTCATCCTGAACTACCACTCCTACTCAATTGCTATCCAATTGCTGCCCATCAGGAGGTTCTCCACCTCCACCTCCATTAGAGATCATAGAATAGTTGAGTTGGAAGGGGCCATGAAGGCCATTGGGACCAACCCCCTGCTGTTGCAGGACACCACATTGCACCATCCCACTCAGATGGCTGTCCAGTTTCTTTGTGAATGTCTCTAGTGTGGGAGAGCCCACCACCTCTCTAGGCAGCTGGTTCCACTGTTGTATTGCTCTGACAGCAAGGAAGCTTTTCCTGATGTCCAGCCTGAATCTGGGTTGCTGCAACTTGAATTGATTATTGCATGTCAATGTCTTCTGCTGATGCGAGTCAGTGGCTGTCCTGAACCAGTGCCTGGCCGCGGTAATGGGCTGAATGAGGGCCAATAAACTGAAGCTTAATCCAGATAAGACGGAAGTCCTGTTGGTGGGCGGTTTGGATCTTCAGGTAAGTGATTCTGGTCCTGTCCTGGACAGGGTAGCACTCCCTCTAAAACACAGGGTCCACAGCTTGGGAGTGCTCCTTGACCCAGGGATGTCCCTGGAAACCCAGGTGATGGCGGTGGTGAGAAGCGCTTTCCTCCAGCTTCGGCTGGTCCATCAGCTGCATCCTTACCTGGAGGAGCACTGCCTAGCAATGGTGATACATGCCCTGGGAACTTCCCGGTTGAATTATTGTAATGCGCTCTACGTGGGGCTGCCCTTGAAAATGGTGCAGATACTTCAATTGGTACAAAATATTGCTGCTAGGTTGCTGATGGGGACCGGTCATTATTCTCACATAACGCCGGTCCTTTATCAGCTACACTGGCTCCCAATTGAAGTCCGGGCCCAATTCAAGCTGCTGGTATTAACCTATAAAGCCCTAAACAGCTTAGGTCTGGATGACCTGAAGGAACATCTCCTCCCCTATAAGCCTTCATGCTCCTTAAGATCGGCGGGGGAGTCCTTGCTCCAGGAACCCTCTTTGAAGGAAGTACAGAGGGGGTCTACCTGGAGGAGGGCCTTCTGCGCAGTGGGGCCCAGACTATGGAATCTGCTCCCCAGAGAGGTCCGTCTGACGCCAACGCTATATTCTTTCTGGTGCCAGGTAAAGAACTTTTTATTTGATCATTATTTTAACAATTAATGTTTTTAGATGTTTAGGATTTTATTTTATTTCTTTCCCCTTTTTTCACAGTCACATTTTATAGTGATGTTTTATATGGTTTTAATAATTTATGTTTTATAGTAGTTTTATATTTATTGTATTTTTATATATTTTGTAAGCCATCCTGAGCGCTTGAAGTGATAGGATGGGGTATAAATGCATGTAATAAATAAATAAGTAAATAAATACATGTGACTGTTACTCCTTAAGATGGTGGGTGTAGCTCAGTCTGGTGTCTCAGCTTTGACCATTCAGCCTTGCCTGACCTGCTAACAGACCAGCCTGGTGAGGCAGTTGGAACCTCCTGGAGGCATATCTCTTGGCTTCTCGGACACTTTCAAACTCCCAGTGTGCATCCATGAGGGGGCTATTTAACAGGTATTTAGCAGAGGATAAACCTCATCCTTGCGTTTGCAGGGGACAGCTGGAAGCTGCATGTGCAGTGTTGCTTTCTAGGTTCTTTTGTGCATCTGACGCTGTGGTTCCCAAATGACCATGGATATGAGTTCCCTGTTCACCCGTAGAGCAGAGGTGCTGAGTATCTTTCAACCTAAACGTTGAATTCAGTTCTTGAAAGACAGATTTCACTGGAATGCAGGACCAAAGCCAAAATGCACACAGCCAAAAAATAACCTGCTGCCCCCCAGCATATTCTAGTTCAAAGATCTTACTCCCAGGTTACAAACCCAGAGAAGAAGTATCTCAATATCTTACAATGGGAAAACAGCCAATAAAAGGAAAGGAAAGGAAAACAGCACAAAACAGTGTGAAAGCACCAAATAATCCAGGGGTGGCCATCGAAGTTTGGGAGCTGCATGCTCAAGAATATGTGTTCAAGCATAGGCTGGACATGCACATGGTAGGCATGTCATGAGTAGAGGTGGCTGGAGCTGGGGGAGGGGGGGGTCAGACTAGATGGCCCGGGAGGTCCCTTCCGACTCACTCTGTTTCTGTGTGGCTCTCTGAATTCTTTCTGTGGCTTGCTGCCCACAGGCACCCACCAGCCCACTTGCAGCTCTCAAACATCTGACATTTATCATTTGCAGCTCTACCATTGAACAACTCTGGCCACCCCTGAAATAATCTATGATTAGAAAAAAAGGGACTGTAGAAGGTCCCAGTTTCGCTCCCCAGCATTTTTGGCAGCCTAGCACCAGGAAAACACGTCTTCAATTTTTCCATGCTTGATTAAGTGCTTCAGAGCAAATAGAAATGTTAGGATATTTAGACTGTGCAAAGATGCATGGAAATGCAGGCAAGTCTGCTTGGGACTAACTTCCTATTCCACCGCCTGTGCACTTTTCTATGCTCATCACAAACTTGATTCACTCTAACAGGGCTTGTCAAGCCCCTTATTATTGCAGGTTTAGAAAAATGTTAGGCCTTCATAAATGGAAGCCCTTCATCAAGAGCATGCACCGAGTACCAAGCCAGAATGAAAGGAAATATAAAAATACTGCAAAGGGCTTTGTAGGATAGAACAATTACTTCCACTTAATCCTAATAGGATAAAAGGTTAAGCATAGTATTGCTTGACCCCTTCAACGACTGACATTCATGCCATATTATTGTTAGCATTGCATGTTAAGCAAGCAAATTTTCAATCAACTTGTGTTGGCTTTGCCACAGACACAGATGTTAGGCGGACTCCTTTGTTCATAAGGTTCTCATTATTAACTCAAACCAAGCTGAATATTTGACTGAAGGAAAGGACCATATCATTGTTTTCAGATTTCACTCTATGACTTAACTGAACTACATCTGCCAGCTTAGAAATACCAAGTACTTCTTGGCGCCAGGACTGGCGCCTCCATCTGTGACTACCAGCCTAAATGCTTCAGCTTGAGGAAGTTTAGTAACCATGAAAACAACTTAATAAAAGCTTAAATTGTGATTAAAAGTTAGTCACAAATTGACAGTGCACACCAACATTTGCCCTGTGTGTAATTTATCCCACAAAATAGCAAATGGAGCTCACCATTAAAATAGGTAGGCTAGAAATGTCAGAAAGATGTTTTCATGATTTATGAAGTCTGCAATGTACTTGAAACCATATTTACTTAATAGGTAAGCTGGCACTACACAGCCCCATTCCATCTGCTTTAAATCTATTATAAGGCCTTAGGAGGCATGAAGAACACAGCAAGTATAAATATAGTTCCACTTTTCACCTTTTTGCAAAGCCATCCTTTAATATCAATGAGGAGGGAGAAATGGCAGACACCCCAAAAGATGCCTCCTAATATGAAGCTTCCAAAGTGATGTTATCAGAAAGTCTTTATTGCAAAACAGGATAAACATTATGAGGCAAAGGAGGATTTGAGTTTTTAAAAGGAAGATGATAATCACAGTGAAGCATACAAAGTGTCTAAATTCCAGTGATCGTTCCTGAAAGCTGAAATCAACAGTGCTTCATTCCAAGCTGACAGGGGACGAGAGCTCAATATTCTGGAAACATCTCCTGCTCAAGCCAAATGAAACGCACGGCAGCCCTCATTCATTTCATTGGGAGTCACATAGGAAACATTCCCAACAGATTATCCCAAAGACCTAGACTTCAAGATAAAAGGCTGATAATCAACTGGCTTTCCATACTATGTTATTGACGGAGTCAGACAGACAGCAGGGATGCCATTAACAATGAGGCCGGGAAGTGATTTCTAAATAGAAGAGATTAAACCATGTTACCAAGCGAAACCTATCTGATAAAACTTTTTCACTTACCATGCTGTATGTCTTTCATATCTAAATGAAGACTGGACATTAATATCCCGACTGCTTGTGATCTTTTGTTGCTCAATAGCTTGACAACCTGCAAAAGACAAAAAATCAGAATCAAAAGAACTCCAGTAAGTTGCTAGGTCTTTCAAAGCATTTTTAATATGACAGAATTATGCAAGCACAACATAATTTTGTTAAATCACTGTTAGATTCAAATTATAGTTAACCCCTTTTCAAACTTTGTAGATACAAATATAGCTTCCCCAATGTAGCCTCATGTGCATTTTAGCTTCAACTTTTCACGCACGTTCAAGCTTCTATAAAATAAGTTGACATATTACATATTTGATGTTGCTTCCAAAACCGTACAATTATTTCAAGATTAGATCAACCTAAACCTGTAAAAGTATTTCTATGCTGGCTTATCTTGCAGGAGCTTTAGTTGGTTGGTTGGTTGATCTTAAACTATCTATTCACATATTAGGATGTTTTCTGATCAATATAAGAAAAACCCAAAGATGCAAATATGTCATTTTAAAAGCATATAATAACCTTGTAGAAAGGCCTTTTCAGTCCTAACAGAATTAGGATTTCAGCTGCCACTGTTCTTCTATCATATTTTGTGCACATTTTATTTTATATTTTATTTTGTGTTAATGTGTGTGTTCTAATAATAATAATAATAATAATAATAATAATAATAATAATAATAACAAGGGATAACTCAGTAAAAACAAGCCCATAGAATACAAGATGGAAGTGGTGACTCAGGTAGGTCTCAAGGCATAATCAACAGTGAGATCCAATACAGTCTATTTAGGAATGAACCACATTTATTTCAACAGGGCAAACAAATGCATGTGGGATTGCAGCGTACGTGAGGCAGTGGAAGGAAGGCTCACCATGAGATTTGTCTCTTTTACAAAGGAATGGCAAATGAAGCCTTAAAAGAAAGGGAGATGTGAATCAAGACTGTGATGGGTTTACCTTTGTAAGAACCAGGAAAGGGGATTAATCTTTCTGCATACACATTTTCCTGTTTTAAATCTGTCACACATGGGACACAGCTATTTGTTCCATGATGCAGAACACAGGCATGTAGTATATTCATGCATTTCCTCAAGGGGCAAGGGGTCATACTGGGGAGGCAGATCAGTTCAGCCATGGCAATAGCCTAGGGAAAAGGCTCGCTCTTCCTCAGACCATGGTTCAAATCCATATTGAGATGTCCATGGATGCCCTTGCCTTTGAAACCAACAGTCCAATTGGAAACTTCTTCTTAAAAATGTAAATAGCATCTGGGGAGGGGCATCACCAGTCCTCTCTCCCTGCTATTCCCCTGCTTCCTGCCCCAAATGAAAGCTTCTTTCTTGATGCAAATGACAGCTTTGCAGGAGGGGAGCTTTTCATGGAAGCCACAGCATGGAGTGTGCTGAAGTCTCCCCTCCCACAACTCCCTGCCTTCCTGTGTCACTCAGGAATCTCCACGGTTATTATTTGCACTTTTGTTTTTTGTAAATGTTAGATGCTGTTTCCACCTACATCATTAACATCCTGTCTCATTTGGTCCAAACTCTCAGTGGATTTAGTGGTTTCAACGTAAGTAAAGGTTTAAACTGCTGTGCTGCTGGGCTGGTAGATTGAAAGGTCGCCGGTTCGAATCTGCACAACGGGGTGAGTTCCCGTTGCTCCGTCCCAGCTCCTGCCAACCTTGCAGTTCGAAAGCGTGCAAATGCAAGTAGATAAAAAGGTACCACTTCGGTGGGAAAGTAACAGTGTTCTGTGCACTTCGGTGTTTAGTCATGCCAGCCACATGACCACGGAGACTGTCTGCGGACAAATGCTGGCTCCCTCGGCTAGGAAACAGAGATGAGCACTGCTCCCTAGAGTCAGGCATGACTGGACTTAATGCCAAGGGGAAACCTTTACCTTTTACCTTTTAAAGGCTGGACTACAAATTTTTGTTGCTGTTATACTGTATTTCTGCAATGAGATAGCTTTTCTCGTTATGTCTTATGTACACAATGATATAATTCTATATCTTAATGTATTTTGTTAGCTGCCTTTTTTAGAATTTTCTTATGAAAAGGCAAGGATCTTTTATGTATAAATAGATACAAGTTTCAGGCACCGGAAGTATTAAGCAAGCCCTCTTCCTTCTTGCTATCTCTCTCTCCTACAAACACTAAAAAAATTAAAATGATCCTTGTGCAAAGTTCAGGAGTTGAAAGATGCTGACCAATCATGAAAAGTCACCCACTTATAGCAAAAGAATTCCCAGACATGACATTTCTAACATTTAAAGGGTGTAGCCAACCATGACTAAACAAGTACCAAAAGAAGTTGTAAGCAACAGTGTAACAATGACTTTTTCCATTAAGAGTTCAATAGCTGTGTTAAGTGAATGAGTGCTATGCAGCATCTGGAGTCCATTAGATTGCTTGTGGTGGCGTTCATAGAAAATGAGAGAGAGAGAGAGAGAGCGAGAGAGAGGGAGGGAGGGAAAGAAAAGGAGAGTCCATCCTTTTATCCTGACATTGCTATCCTTTCATTTCAAAAGCCATTGCATGCTGGGGTGTGCAGACACCTGCAAGTCGTCAGATACATTCACACCAATATTTGAAGCAAAGTTTTTGGTGGCTTTGATATTTTGCATTTAGACCAACAATGAACATGCATGCTGGAATCTCTCTGAAGTTGACAACCTGATGTGCACTTTGTGTTGAAGGGGTCTGTGAGCATTCTGGAGGAGTTGGAATGAAGCTAGAGTATCTGATGGTATTTGAAGGAAAAGGCACTGGTGGAGAGAACAAAGATGGGAAAGTCAATTTGCCAGGAGATTTAGCAGAAGCAGTTATCTGACCGTGCAAACAGGTGCTTGGCAGAACAACCTTGGATCAATCAGTGTAGAGAAACTATGTAACAACCTAACCTAATACATACTTTTTAGGTCTCAGGTGAAAGTTCTAACCATATCTCAGCAATAAAAACCATGTAATAGGAGTCAATGTATTGGTTAATATAACACAGTGGAGAGTTATATTAAAGAGCCTTTCTGCATGATGCTGTGATTGGCTATTAATCTGCTGCATCTACTTTCATTGTTGCTGAAAACTGTATTAAGGTATAAACACTGTACAAGAAGCAATTTTCCACCACATAACCTCTAGGGGCTTTGCGATATAGCTGAATAATGCCAGTACACAAGAAGAACTAGCACTTGCCTTAACTTTCATGATTAAATGTTTCATTTCCCCTTCTCTAGACACAGTAATGAAACTGGCGGGTAACATCATTGCCTAAAGAACTTGGAAACAACTATGAGTAGGGAAGTGACAAGCACAGTAAATTCCCTGTGTAGGCAAGCCCAGAGTAATGGGCTAGAATGATGGACAAATAGTTCGATTTGTTCTAATAGAACTTCCTATGATCCTAGACATACTGTAATCATTTGTCTATATACACTTGCGCACTCTGTTTTAAGATGCATTTCAGAGAAGGTAACAAAGTGTTTTGTCAGAACAAATCTCTTAGGGTATTTAGTTGCCCATATATTATGGGTGCAGAAGGGTATAAAAGATGGTAGGAGATCAGTTATGAAACCATGCAAATAAAGCTTTATGTTGATTTCTAGTTTCTTGCCTTTAGAGGAACATAAAACTGATTACTAGGAAACTCATTGTAATTGCCTCTATTTGTATACCAGCAAATATGAAGTTAAATGTTCGCTGAAATCAGAAACACGCTGAATGAATGTTATAGTATAGTATTTCCTCCAGCACGGTGGCTGCAACAATACATGCCTAATTCATGAAATATGAATATTAGCATAAAGGCCTAAAGCAGTTCCCACAATTAGAAATAAAATAAACCCATTAACTGCATCCATATAAGCCTACAGGCTACAGACTGGTGACGCCATTAAACGGAGAAACTACAAAAGTTTGCTAATCAAATCTCTACAGGATCAAGCCATCTCAGACACAATACAGATCTCCTTTTTTAAGTTTAAAATTTGGAACTGCATTTTAAAACAACTTTTGAAAATATAAAGGAAGCTAAAGATATTATCAGCACACTAACATCTATGACCAAGTTTCTAACTGTTGAGTGGCCCTTACTGTTGATCAGTAAACAAACGACATGCCAAATTTGTTCCTGTATAGATAACACAAGCAAAAAGAGTCAGGTATTTAGTGAAAGGTAATTCAGTGCAGATGTTAGATAATTAAATGCTTGGAGCAAAAAAAACGAACATCCCTTTCCCTCAAATAATATCTACCTCATACAGAATTTGTTTTGCAAAAAGGTCTGCTTTCTGGAACAGATTTAAATGCTGAAATTGACAGACAATGTCTTAAGGTTGTTACTCTTTACAGCTAGCCAAATTACTAGTTGACACTCATTTCTATAAAATGAGTCAGAGGTTCACCAGTCAGCACTCATACTATATTAATTACCAAATGAAAATGTCAGTGTCTATATTAAGCTTGCACAGACAGGCTAGGTAGGTATTGCTAGCCATCTATGGCACTCTCAGAATTGAACAACAATAGGAGTTGCCTTTTCAAAATGGTAGTCGCATTCACTGTATTGTACCATACTATCAATTAGCAGCTTAGCTAAAGATCTATAAATACCAAAACAAAAAACAACAACAACCCAAAATCACTATGACTTAGTTTTCATGTGAAAACAAACCTGACTATGGGTTGTGTATTGCATGTTTGCAAACTCCAATTTGTACATGCATACATACAAATATCTGGAGTCCACCTTCAACTCAGCCCAGAATTTGGAAAAACACTCCATGCACCTCCAGAGCTTATATGTATCAGCTCTAAGAAAGCCTTTTTATGTGAGACATTTGTGAATCAGCAAAACTCAAGTCTGAAGTTGACCAAATTCCACCTCAAAGCTTGTTCCAACTCATATCTGTCTTGGATTACAATATTTCTTTTTGTTTCCCATGAAAACTCATACATATTTCCCCAAATATATGCAACAACTGTGTACATTTCTGAAATTTGCACATTCTTTTCACATTGATTAAACTATGTATCTGTACAAAAGTAAATTCTTCAAAAGTAT